CCTGGCTTTCCCTCTTTGGACTTGACTTAGTCCCCATCAGCCTCCAAAAGCCGATTCTGACTGTGCCTACAGGCCTTGCAGGGGCTGGGGGAGTGTCTCTCCTCCCACAGCTCCTGTGTTTCTCTGTAATAACTCCTCTGTTTCCTCCTAAAGGCAGGAATACTGCATAGTCTGTCTTAATAGCCCCAGCACCCAGCACAATGCCTGGCCTGTAGATCGTCCATGAATGAGGCTCCAAATGGAACTGACACTAATACTCAAATAGCACAAGAGGATCAGAGAGTTTATTTCAGCACCAAATCGCACGCAATTGTGTGTTGGCTTAAAGCAAGTTCAAAGATGGCTCCCCAATGGACGTGCACTATAGGGGACACGCCATCCATCAGTGCCTCCCCAGCCATCCTGTCTCCCCAAGGACCTGAGTCCTCACTCAGAACAAAGTCTCAGCCTGAGGGGTTGCAGCCTTCCACGGTGTCTGAGCCCAGAGCACTCACTCCTCAGTGGCGGCTCCCTATGCGAGCACAGGAGGAGCCCGGATGACATGCTGACGGGTAGTTACCCCACAAAGCCTGGGACTGGCGAGTCTGCTTTATTAAGGAGATGAAGGGGTCATTCGTGATTCCAAAGCTACGGGTTCTAGTCTGAYCACCCAGATCCTAGCATTAATTAGACACTGAGCTGGATGGCAGCATCCCCCATGYCCCTTAGTGCTTAGAAGGGTTGTCTGAGACTCCTGGGCTGCAACCTGAGTGTGACCTTGGATCCCCCTCTCCAGCCCTCCCAGGGCTCCACTTTCAGGAGACCCTGACTTCAGGTCCAAGAGCACCTACTGGGCGGCTGATCTGCCCCACGGGRCCCACTGAACTACTGCGCAGGGCCAAGTGTCAGGATTTCCAGATCTATTTTAACAAGCCTCTCTCTCTCCCTCTCTATCTTCTCTCTCTCTCTCTYTCTCTCTCTCTCTCTCTCTCTCTCTCTCTCTCTCACACACACACACACACACACACACACACACACACACACACACACACACACACASGTCAAGCTCACTGTCAACACCTACAAACAGGTGCTTCCTACCCAAACTGCAGAACCTCAGGGGACAATGAACACAATTTGGGTTTTTGTGCCACGGCTCAGCAAGCTAGATTATGACTGTGTTGGCTGCCACGGTTTGGCTGGGCGCCCCACGATTGGGGGCAGCTTTGTCTGTGCAGGAAAGTACCCTCTCAGACAGCCAACTGCATGGCAGACTTTTGGGAATTCACGCTGCTCATGAACAAGGGGGATGTGGACCCTCAGGTCGGTTGGCCAATCAGCAGGTCCTCTAGGGCTCTRGTTTAGGCCCAGGCTAGGCCTTGGGAGGCTGAAGAGGGTCTAGTGGACATGCCCTGGCTCCCCAAGCCCTCCCGGTCTGGTAAGGGGTGGGACAGGGTAGAGGGCCCCTGTGCAGACGAGACCAAGTTTCGTGTACAGCGTCCACTCAAGAGGGAACGAGAAGCAGCACGGGCTTTGTTGGGCTGGTGACCAGCATACCAGGAGCAGAAACCTGACTGCCAAGCTGTGGCACAGAAACTACGGAGCTGGCTTCTGTCAGCTGCTTCACAGCACGGAGGCCACAAAGCCCAGAGAGAAGGCACGTGCAGAAAACGTGTGCTTCTCAGGCCACTGTCGAGRTGAACGGCAGAGTCGGATCCTTGCTCAGTCGCTCTCCTCTAGCCCGGGGGCCTCCCATCTGCTGACTTCTTTTTTCTTGAAACTTCGACACATAGCAATTTGACAGAAAAAAAAATTAAATGAACCTAGTTAATATGAAATTAGAAATCATCAGTCTTTCCAAAATCTCTTTCCTTCTCTTCAGCAGAGCAGATACAGGACTGTCATGGGTTTTCTACTTTTCTCCCAAGGGGATTCCATGTCTGAGTCTCTGTGCGTCATCAGAGCCCATACCAGGTGTCCAGCTGACCACCCAGGGGCCCTGGTTCCTARGCCTGAGTGGACACACCAGCTCCCCACTCCCTCCATTGGAAGAGCACATCAGTGCAACATCTTMTTCCTCTGGAGAGACTTTGGCTTTCCAGGCGCTGAGCCCTGGGAGGAGACTGAGATGCGAGAGTGAGGGGAGTGATTTTGTTTCCCTCAGACCCTGTAGGCTTCTGTCAGCAACTACGTGGATAGTTTACTTTTTACCTCTATCTCAGTTTTCTCATCTATAAAATGGAGACAATAGGAATTTGTATTTTGCAGGGTTATTGTGGGAATTAAATRAGATAATGCGTGGCTCATAATAAATGATCAATAAAGGGTAGCCTAGAAGTAGGAATTACAAATACTATTTTAACTATTACTCTTGAAGAGCAGGTGCCATGTGTCTCTTTACCAGCACACCCATGACTTTGAGGAGCATCCATTTAGCTTSTGCAAGCTCTGGCCTCAAGTCAGAAAATTCCTTCCTCAGCCCCGCTGTGAGGATCCAGAATGGAGGAGCTATGAGAGATGGCCCCTAACCCTTTTCTCACATGACCTTGACCTTGAGTTGTACAACATTCTCAGGGGCTTTTCCTATGGCCCGTTTTTATTTTTCTTACTTGGAGTAAGGCATAAAAGCTGAGCCCACCTGGCAGACGGGGACCAGATAGAGCAAGTGGCCCTCTGGGGCAGGCCAGCATCTGGGCCAAAGAAATTAGATGGCACAGCTGTGAGAGGCGGAAACCCCACTGCTACATCGGAGGCCCCAACGCTCAGGCCTGACTGCCTGTCGGCTGAGCCCAGCACTCCGACTCTGGCCCTTGTTTCTGCCACTTCCTTAGCCCCGAAAGACAACSCAGAAATCCTGCCAAGATAGGTCCAGGCCCTGCCATCTCTCTGGGGAGCCTCTGTGTGTCCTCTATCCTGGTGTGGGCTTTCTCTCCTCCCAATCCCCAACACTGTCTCTCCTGGGGTGCATCCTGGCACCCTCTGGCCTGCACCAAGGCCTGGGACACTTCTCAGCCATCCCCAAAGTCTATCTGTGCTCAGCTCTCATCCTCATTGGGCCCAGCTCACAGCTGCCCACCCAACATGTCCATGGTCCTGGGTCACAGCCATACTCTGCCCTCCATAGTAACTCCTATCTCCTGACCCCATATCATAAATCAGGTGACCATCCCCCCAAGAAAGTGGCTCTGGATGCCCTGACCAGGCATCAAATGCAGCCAGAGTTCTGTGTCCTTTGAGCTCTTGGAGAAACACTTTCTTTGCAGTAGTGACTTGCCCCAGGCAGTCCCCAGGCCAGATAAAGGGCCTGGTCCATGGGCTTTGGGAAGGCTACTGCTACATGTGGAGACCGTGCTCGCCTTTGGGATCCTGCACAGACAGACTGTGGCCTGAGGTGCACCTTCCAGGCTCAGCACTGTTCTAGGGCTCCCTGGAGCCTATACCCAGAGGCGGCGGCAGGAGCTGCAGTCACTAAACAGGCCTGGACCTCCCTGGGGATACTGACCCTGACCGCCTGACCTGTTCCTCCTCTGTCCTCAGGCCAGTGCCCACCCACTTGCTGGGCCCCTGCCCAGGACACGTTTGCAACTAGCTCCAGCTCCCCCTTGCCAGCCTTGGAGACCCCTCCAGGGCCCTGGCCACAGCTCCCACCCCATYGCATCCACTCCTCCTGAGCATTCTCACCTGCTAGCTTGGCCCCAGAATGCCGCTGTCTCTAGTACCCCGTTGGCCAGTGCACCATGGTCTCCAGGCAACTGCTGCCACCCCTCCTAGCCCAGGCCTGTCCACAACAGAACCTGACCCTAGTCCAGAACGGGGTGACACTCCAAGTGGGGACTTTCAGCAGGGGGGGGGTGTCAGCATAAATCCCTTTGGGGTGTCATCCACCTATGAAGGAAGCCAGGTACACAGTTGCAGGCAGAGCAGGGTGAAGCTCAAGACCTCTCAACCTCATTGCATGTAGTCAGGGACCAGCTCCAGGGTGGTAAAGCCCTTGCTAAACAAACTGTAGTCCAGGCAAGGCTAGAAGTGGGGTGCTGGTGGGATGTATGCTGAGTCGTTTTGTCAGGTTTGACATCTGTAGTTTTGCAGGATCTGGAGCAAGTCCCCAAGCTTCCCAGGACCTCAGTTGCCTGACCTGGGCAAGGGAGGGCTGCAGGGAAAGGAGCCTGAGGGGGCCCTTCCATCTGGCTTTCTGAATTCTGACTACTGAAAGCAAAAGCAAGGCCCTCAGAGCAGGGTGCAAGGGAAGAGGGAGAATAAAACATGCAGCCATTTGCTTGTGCCGGAATCCAGGAGCAGACTCCTAGAATTCCCCACCCCTGGCCAGAAGCCGAGGTCAGGCTACTGCATGATACCTTGTGCCTGAGACCACCAGAACCCACAGGGAAGGGTGGGTGCTGGTGATGAATCGCACAAGCCTTTTCATCCCGTGCACTACTTACACACCCAATACTTCAGGAGGGGAGGGGACTACTCCTGTTTCATAGCATATTCAAGTTTAAGGTCACTTTTTCATACGTTTCTTCTTAGTACGACACAAATCCTCATTATGGATATTTCTGTGTTTTAGCAAAAGGACCCATAGTCACAGTGCTGCGATCCTCAAATAAAGTTCAATTCATTTTCATCTCTCTTTCCTTCCGAATATTATTGCCGGAAATGTTACATTATCATAAACCAGAGTTCAGGATGCGTGTAGGGTTTCAACAATTGTCACTTTTCTCTGTTTACAAATTCTGATTGCTGCCCACATTTTACAAAGGCAGAGTATTTCCATATTTGTAGATAGTTTTTCTTTGGCTATCCCTAGCTCAGACACAGCCCTGACGGTTAGGATGTCCTGTGTGATGCTGTCCCATTTCTGCCTGGCATGWAGGGCAAAGAGCCTGGGTGAGATGTTTGTAGGGAGTGGGGTGAGGTGGGACTGCTTCAGGGGGGCTCCCCCAGGGGACTCTCCCTTTGACAAGCCTGAAGGACCCGGGGAGCAGGCTCTGGGCCCAAACCCTGATGGCTAGCCTTACCTGCACATGGAAGGACAGATTGCTCCCACACAGACGTTCATGCATTRGAAGTCTCCAGGTAGTTTTTCTTTTCTATTATCCATGTCACACACCTCTGGTAGAATGGATGCCCCTTCCCAAAAGGATCTCAGAGTCCAGGCCTGCTCCCCAGTGTGCTGAAGCCGCAGGTGTGGCCTGCCCTTAGGCCCATCTGCTGGCATCAGGGCCAGCTGGGTAGGCGTGAGCTCTGAGGTTACTCAGGCCAGGCTGCTCTCTTGTATCCTACCTGGAGAAAGAACCCWGCTTTGGAGCAGACAATTTGTGACTGAATAGCACTTATGAACTATGTYAGCTTGGAAGAGGGTCTTTATTCCTGTGCAAGATCTATCCTCTGCAAATGGAGTTTATAATAACTGCAGCCAAGCCAGGAGGGCAAAGCTAGATCAAACACACCAAGCCCCTCCCCGTACTTGGCACGTGGGAGGTGTTTGTAGGGATGGTGGGCTGTGCCTGCCTGCATTCCTCACCTTCATAGTTGCTTCCTTTGGCTTCTCCTCTAGGTCTTCCTCTCTTTGGCTTTTAATCCCATTAAACCCTAACCTTCTTTTCTTTCAACTGTGTTGGATAAATCTGTCTGGAGGGAGCCACTTACTCTCGCCCTTCTCCCAAGGCACTTGGATGAAGGGTGCATCCTCCGCACAGCCCAGGCACTAAAAACCTTCTAGACATCCTTCCCATAGCTAAGAGGAGGAATCACTTGTTTCCCCATTTCTTGGAAGGGATYAGACCCAAAAAGTTTAAGCAGATTGTTTGAGGACATGCAGATGATAAATATCAGAGCCAAGATAAAAGGCACAGTTGGGTTCCAAAGCCTGTGCTTTAAACTGACCTGAGCCCTGAGGGTAGTGTTTGTTCTGCAGCTACAGGTCAGTGCTCTGGTCTCATAGAGCTAGTTAGGCCATTGGCCCCTGAACAAAATGACCAAAGCTCATGGTTCTGGCTGAGGTTATGCACCTGCTTTTCAGTCTTTCTGCCTCCCCTCATTCTCATCCACTAAACTTTCCTGAAACAACAGCACCTCTMCACACACACACACACACACACACACACACACACACCCGACATGCTTGTTAGAATTGTGTGCAAAGGAGCACTCATAGGCCATGAAATAGACTGCTGGGGCTCCTCTGTGAACAATGAGCTTCTGCACTGTGATGCCTCAGGTTTGTTCTAAGGCTTTGTTTGATTGCTACTTGAATTTTGGTTATATTTTGGAATAAAGGAAGGATGGTTGTTTAGGGGTTTTTTGTTGCTTTTTCTTTCTTTCTTTTCTTTCTTTTTTTTTTTTTTTTCAGCACTGGGGGTCAAACCCAGGGCCTATGAGAGTTAGGCAAGCACTTTATCACTGACTACACCCTCGGCCCCAGGATGTCTATTCTTATTTCTGGGAAGATTTGAGGAAAAACTTTTACCTATTCTGAAGTCTAATCAGAAAAAAAGGGAGGCAGGAAGGTGGGGTTCTCTTCCCACGGAGTGGGCTAGTAGCACCAAAGACACCCAAGGTCTTGAAGGACCAGATTAGAAACTCAAGATCCAGCCCCTGGGGAGGGAACCCACACCCTGGGTCCAGACATCTAGTTCTTATTCCTAAGTCCAGTGTCAACATGCTTCAGATGAAGTAAAGTCATCTACCATCTTAAAGCCAAATCTGCCATCAAATGGTTCCATCTGCCATCAGATGGACATGCAGCATTCTCCCCAGCCACCCACAGAGGTGACAAGTGCCCTTGTGAACATGTGGACTTTTGTGGACTCAACTTTGCCATGCTAACTGCAGGCCCCAAGGATCTGTCCACATGAACAAGTGCTGCAGCTGGATCTGGAGGGCTGGGTCAGAACCCTAGCATCTGCCTGCAGGCGGCTCTGGGCATCTGGGGGAAGGGGCATGGCTTCCGGAACCGCAGGAGGTAGGAAGGCAGAGGCATTGTGACTTCCACTGGGTCCTTTTCCAGCACCAGTTTACACTTTATTCAGCAAATTTCCAGCTCCCAACACATGCCCCCTGRGTGCCAGTCAATGGTAACTCAGTGCATGTAGGCTGGGGCAGAGGGGAGAACAATAACGGAGCTCAGGTATTTGCCCCAGAGAGTTTCCCAACCTCCCAGGATCCAGCCTCCATTCTAAAGCGAAGGACATAAATGCTAAACTAGGGGGTTCTTGTCAGTGCTGATAAGGAAAACCAGAGAATGCTGGAGTCTCRTGAAGAAAACCCTAAGATTGTAGGCTTATCGCTGCTGTAGCATAACACAGGAAGTGTGTTAATTCTAACCTCYGTGGGTTCCCCCTAAATCCCTTTCAGCTGAGGCTGGCAGGGTGAGCTGCCATCCTGCAGAGACTGGAGCTTGGACTGACTGGTTTGGATTTCTTCCYTTACCTGGGCTTCACATATCCAATCTCCAATTTGAGGGGGGACACAGCTTTGTCCCCTTCACCTGCCCAGCTGCCTTCTCAGTTATTCGGTCCACCAAACAATGGCCAAAAGCCTACTGTGTGCAGAGCCCAGTCGTAGGAGCTATGAAACGTCCGAGTCCAGCCAAGTTCATCTCTGCAGAGCCAATACGCCAAGGAGAGCATAGTGATTTATAGGCCAAGCCTGCCAGCCGACCTTGTCCCCAGCAAAGTCTCATTTCAACAGGCTTCTCTTCTAAGCGATTATTCACTGTTTGTCCTGCTCGGGCCTGGCACGCTTCTACAATTCCTTTTACCAAAGAGGAAGCCGGAAGCTTGAAGTAAGTACTTATCTTATAAAGAGAAGGTCCGTGGGGCAGGCTCGTGCCTCTTTTGGGGGCTTGCCTGGACACCTCGGTGTGGCTCTGTAACAAGAATGGATTTGTTACAAGATTGACTTTTCTGCAGCTCCTCCCCATCCGGGGCTTTTTTTTTTTTTTTTTTTTTTGATCCCCAACCACCCCTTTGAGGCCGATGAGGGAAGGCCAAGCTCAGGGGGAGGTGGCATGTTGGGTCTGTGCTGGAAAGTGTCAGAGCCCGCCCTGCCCCAAGTGCCCAGCTCTCGTCTGCATCGCTTTCCACTACACCAAACCCAGAGCTGGAGGGAGGGCAGAAGAGATGTCAGGGGCGCGGTCCCCACGGGGCCTTCCTCCCTGGCTCCGAGTGCTGAAGAAGGCTCAGGAGGCGTGAGGCCCGGAGATGCTGTGCCGACCTGCCCTGGACTCCAGAGGTGCCGAGGGGAGAAGCAGCTGCAAGTCAYGGTGACGGATGTTCGCAGCTCACGGGTGGGTGACTGTGTGGGCACTGGTGCCAGGGTGGCCACATGGCTGGCAGGAGGGAGCAGAGCGTCACATTTCAGCAACATGATCTCGGCCCAGTCCCAGGAGGAATGTGTGCACAGGTGTTTGTGGTCTTCAGTTCAGAGAGGGGCTGGGGACAGTGGAAGGACCAGGCGGCAGGGGGGACCTCCCTGTCTCCGTGGGTTCTCTTCACTGCCTTCGCCAGCCCTTTGGGGACAAGCAGTGCTGTGTGTTCTTTCCAAGTGTCTCTAATAAGAAAGCCGGGTTTAAAAGTCCAAAAGTTGCTGAAGGACTTCGCAGGGAGAGGAGGGCATTTGGTATAAAAATGTTGCRGAAAACAAAAGCCTTGCAGTTCTCTTCTCAGCAGAATGGGAGTCTTGCTCTAAGTGGGAAGGGAGGCCACCGACGTTTGCTGGAGATCTTACTTGAAAGTAGGTTTTCTTCCTGTAACTGTTTATCCAAACTCTCTTAGACGTTGGTTCTCAGCTGGGTGTCTGAGTGATCTCCAGAATTTGATGACATTCTGGCTCATAAGAATACAGACTGTGGCTTTTGATTAATGTGATTTATTTTTAAACGATTTCTCTGAGCCAGTTGAGCAACCCAGGTAAGCCATGGTGCTGGTGCCRGGAAGGGAGGCCAAAGGCATGACTTCAAGGTGCTGGGAGCTAAGTATTCCTGCCTAGACACGTAGGAGGGAGGAAAAAGAAAAAAAAAACAAAGACGACCCAGGCTCTGAGGATACCGGCTAGGGCCGGGCCTGTGCCTGGAAGAGAAGAACTTTCCCTTTGTTCCGTGGCCCACTGCTTGTCCCGAGGCTGCATGGTCGGGAGGGCAAAGGCGACTTTTGGGGCTTGGCCCAGARGATCTATTTCCTCTTTTCTTGTTTTCTGCTCCACCACGTGGCTACAGACCGTGACATTTCTGTTCAATGCTGTCAGAGCCTTGGTCTGAGAAGAATGTCTGTGTACTCGGGTCCCTTGGCCAAGAAGGAGCTGTGCCCAGGGCCCTCTGGCATCTGCTCAGGCCCCAACTCCTTTCCTCTCCCACATGACCAGCAGCCAATGGACAGTTCCTCCCAGCCAGGCTTGGGACAGAGCTGAGGGGGTATCGACACTCAGCCAGAACCCGGACCCTGTCTGGGTCTTGCATGTCCAGCTGAGGCAGGGCATTGGCTTTGTCTAGGAAGGGTCAGGTATGGAACCAGGACTTGCCTCCCTTCTCTGAAACTTAGTGGGCAAATAGCCWTGAGCCCCAGCCCCTGCCCTACCCAAAGAGATCCTGCAGAGCCAGCCACCGGCCAGCTATTTTTAGAAAGCTATCAGGTGCACAGGATGCCCAGTTGCCTTTTCCACCTGTTGGGCTCAGTACAGTGATCAGTGTCTCGGCCCCAAAGTCTGACTGCAGCCTGGGGCCAGCACAAAGCTCCCTCCCAGTGCAACTTCGCCATGGTTCTGGCYTGGCCTGACCATGGCAAGTGACGTCTCCATGATCCTTGGGCCCTGGGCCATTTTGTCCTTGGAAGCACAGATATTGGACACTAAAGCTTGCCCTCCTCTGCTTCCTTGAAAGGCAGGGAAAGGCCTGTAGGAAAGACAAGTCAGGAAGAATCTTGAATTGTGAGCTCCTCATGAGGAGTCTAGAAAGTTCTGGAGTCGTCCTTCTACCAGGAAGGTGCACAGAGTGTGCAATGAGTCTGGGGCATGCCCATGTGCACTTAGTAGTGCATCACCCACAGATGCAGGGTGGCCAGGACATGCCCAGGAGAAGTCATAGAGGAGGAGATACAGGGACCAACCTTGAGGGACACACAGGTGCGGCCAGGGACTGCCGAGGGCAGCAGAGGGGCTTCGAGATTTTCACTCAGCTGGAAAGAGGGACAATCCACACTGTACCCAGGAACCTAGAAGAGGCATGAGGCTGGTGCAGAGGGCTCTGCAGGGACACGGGAGGTCAGCCCGGAGGGTGCCAGGTAGCACTAGGTGTGAAAAACCACGAGTGTCAGGGGAGGTGTCTGATGATCAGAGCAGAGACAGAGGAGTGTGGTGATCTGATGGCCAGTCACCCTGCTCTCTGCCCAGCAGAACATCGTGGGGTCTCCTGATCATAGAGCAGCAGCAACAACAGGTTCACAGCAGCATCTTCATCCCCCAGTTCACAGGTGAACCGCTCAGGTGAGATGAGCGGGGGCTGGGACTGGCCCGGCCCAGCATCGGGAGCCTGTTGTTAGTGTCTCTTTCCAGTCCCACGTTTGGTGGCATCGTGAAAATGGTTGCAGCGGGAGGATCTATACAGCCGAGTCTGGCGAGCACTGCTCATCAGGGTCTGGGTGTTTTTGATTCCGTCTCCCGGGGCCCAGCCACCAAGCCAGGCATTAAACACTTACCAGCACAGCTCTGGGTACTGGGGAGTCCCTGCAGGGTTTTATGCTGAGGTCTACACTAGTCAGATTAGCAGTGACCACGCACACGGTGCCTTKGCGGACATGTGTGATGCCTTCTTCCCTGGGGAGGAGCCTGGAGACSGGGAGCGGGGATGGGGCCTTGGACCTTGGTCGGCCTGTTCTGAAACCACTCTCCTTTGGACTCCCAGGCCTTGGACGCTCCTCACCCAGAGCAAACTTGCTTCCTTCCTGCCTTCTGCTTCATCGCCTGAGTAGACTTGGCRCCAGCCACACAGAACTTCTTTCAGCTCCTTAAATAGGACCCATTTCTCCTCTCTTCCAAGGTTGGCTCACGCTTATGCTCCCGTGGTACAGAGGAGTCCCCCGAGCACACCCCTGGAGGTGGCCCTTGGTTCATCAAGTAGTGGCTGAGGGCAGGCGCTGGGGTGCCACCCGGTCCTGTGCACGCATGTGTCGGCAACTCCGTGGCCTGCTAGCAGGACAGAGAGTCTGTGGCCTAGAGAGCATCTGAGTGGCTCTCAGAGGCTGCTGAGACAAAAGCTGCTTAGTCCCGACTGGTGAGAGCGGCAGCACTGTTCAATGCTTTGGAGCTACAGAATAGCCCACAGCAACCTTGTAAAACCAGTAGCACTCCCATTGTAGAGAGGAGGAAACTGAGGGCCCCGTTGGTGAACTCACATCCCGAGGTTCCATAGAGCCCAGGCCTTGAGTCTGAGCCCCAGGACCATAAATCCCAAGCCGGCTCTGAGGGCCTCAGTGGTTGATACAAAGTGAACTCAGACACCAAGAGCGGAGCAGGCCCCTCTGGGAGAAAGGGGTGCCAGGCCTCTGTGCCGCAGGCCCACTTGACTCCAGAAACTTGTCCRCACACCCCGTCACTACTGTCTCTCCAGGACTGGCTTCTCAAAAATGGACATTAACCGTGGCCATGAATACAATGCTGCCTTTGTTGCTCTTTTGGAAAAAGAAAGAGCTGGCTTCTTAGAGCTGTTGTACTTTATTTTTCTGTAAAGAGGAAATTAATTTTAGTCTTTCTTTTTGGTTTAAAATGTTGTTCTTTGCTTTTCCGCCCTACAATTTAAAAGGAAACATTTGTCTGTTGAGAAAAGAAATGATAATTATAGACTAAAAATTGTTTCTATTCTGATTTGAAAAAGTGACAAAAATTTTTTTTTTTCCATTGCACAGATGGGGCCCTGCTGACAGAGGGTGTTTAACAATGAGGCCCCGGGCTAGTTGGGGGCTAGGAATGGCACTGGAGGTGTCTTTGGGTGTCTTGAGTGTCACGGGGGCAAAGTGCTGTTTCCAAGGCTGGTCTTCATTTCCAGAACTGGTTAGTGGCTCACTGCATGAGATTGGGACACACCGGGCCCTCCTGAGGTTCACCTGCGGGAGACAGAGGGGGCCTCTGAGTGTCATGGCCCGTGTCAAGTGAGCTGTTTGGAAGACGAGGCCAGGGGCTCCCTTGTGTGGCCCCTGAGTTCAGAGAGTCACCTGGCTTTATTTCCTTAGCTGACAGTTTTGCCTTTCAGCCTCACAAAATTACAATTGCTCCAAGTCCTTCGATCAATAAAGCAGGAAACTGATTAGACTGTGAAATTAAACTAATAATGCCATGCTATTAACCCTCAATCAATGGGGAATGAGCTTGAAGTGAAGGCTATTTCCTAAACCGTATTACCCCTGGATACATGTATTTACTTTCTGGAAGAAATCCTAGGGGCGCGCATCCCCAGACCATCCTTTTCTGCAAAAGTAGTGTGATTTGCAGTGCTGTCGTTGACCACTGAGAAAGGGCTGTCTGCAAGTGTGGTGTGGTAACCAGWATATTCAGGGAGAGCTGAGTCTGCAGGCTGGCTGAGGCAGGGCAGGTACTTGAGCCTTGGAGTGACTGAGTGGACCTCAAAGTGTCTGATGTGGACGTGATTCCCATGGGCCTCTAACCCGTGCCTGCCTGTTGTCTCTAAGAACTTTTCTTTGGAGTTAATACCTAGTGTCTTAGTTTGTTTTGTGCTGATATAACAAAACACCACAGACTGGTTGTTTGGTAAACAATAGAAATTTAATTCTTAAGATTCCAGAGACTGAAAAGTCAAATGCCGAGGTGCTGGCACTTGCCATATCATCCCATGGCAGAAGGCACCGGAGCAAAAAGCATGCAAGAGAGAGGGGAGGGAGCGAAACCCATCTTTTTCCAGGAGCTCGCTCACTCAGTGACCTCCTTGTCTCACGATGACATTAATCCATTTGAGAGGGTGGAGCCCTTGTAACCTCAACACCTTCCAATACATCCCCTCCTCCCACCACTGTTGGGAGATAAATACCTAACATATGGATTTTGGATCCCCTGTGGCTGGATCAGGGACCCAAGTACATAGAACTAGGGTGGAGAGCTCCTTTTAGTCTCAAATGGCTTTAGGGTTCATGCTACCACTGTGGACACCACCATGTGGTTTTGCAGAATCCCTGTATGTTTGACCCATGAGAAAGGGGTCAGTCTGCTCATTTTCCTCCCCTTCTCGTCCCTCCAATGTCATCGCCCCCAAGCACAGGCTCAGGATGAGCACACTTGAGAGTAAGGGCAGATGTTGGAGCTGTTTTCTTGTATATCTTGACCATCGTCAGGGCCCAGTTTCAGGAACAGTGTAGTTCTAATCTAGAGACACACAGTGTCTAGCTTGGACTAGCACCACCTGGGAGCCTGATTCTGGGGTCATGGAGTCTGGGCCAGGCCTCCCATTCCTAAACTGACCTCTGGGCCTGTCCATCAGGACAGCCTCCTGAGGCCACCTGGGTAGCCAGCATTTGCAGACTGGGCTCTGGTCACAGTATAAGGAAGGCTCATTTGTCACATCCCAGGCACTGCATCTCAGGTGTGTCCAAGTCCTGAGAGGCCACTGCCTGTCTCTTACCCAAGTGGTGAGCATGGGTTAAGCTGG